TTAAATAATAAAAAAAACTAATAAAAAAATAGATACATAAGTTAAATAGAAGAAAAGATAAGAAGAGATACGCCCGCCACCTATATATTTAATAGCTTCTCCTATAAAGAAATTAATAACACCAACACCATTCGTAATTCCATCAACTATCCGTCGATCAAAAAAATGAGTTAATTTAGCCAATCCTCTTATTCCTCCAGTGAAGGATCTTGTATAAAAAGAATCTATGTAAGCACGATTATACGACCAATTATATACGCCATTTATAATTTTGTCCCAAAGAATTCTCTTAGGACCTCTTTTAAGAATTGAATTAATTAAATCAAAATTTTGTAAAGAGGAGTAGGGGGGTTTATATAAAAGGGATGCTATAAATATTCCTAAATAAGCTATACTGACAGAAGATACTGTATCTTTCCAAAATTCGTACCAATCCATCGAATTACTCAACTTTTGGTGCAAAAGATTTATAGATGGAGTTAACCATTTGGATAATATATYTAAATCTACTCCTTCTTGATTGAAAGGAATTCCTATAGATCCAACGAACAAAGTAAATAGACCCAATATAAGTAAAGGGAATAACATAGTATTGTCTGGTTCATAAGGATAGGAATAAAACTTTTTATTCTCAAAATGAGTAATAGTAATAAAGGGACGTGTCACATTTCGAACATTTTCAGCAATTGGATATGTCTTTTTTTTCAAAAAAGAAGAACTTTCAATATTATTCATTGTTGATAAAGAAAAATTGTTGTTAATTTTTTTCGAAGCTCCCCTACCCCATAGAGATATTGAATAGAAAAATACTTTTTCTTTACCAATGTAATTTTGAAAATGAACACTTAAATGCCCTTCAAAAGTAAGTAAATATATCCGAAAAATATAAAATGCGGTTAATCCCGCGGTAGCCCAAGCTATTATTGCGAAAATCGTTGAATACAACCAACTATCATTAAGAATTTCATCTTTGGACCAAAAACAAGCCAAGGGTGGAATACCACAAAGAGAAAGTGTACCTAATAAAAAAGTATTTTTGGTAATTGGTATATGCTTTGTTAAACCTCCCATAAGAACCATATTTTGACTTTTATAAGGAGAATATCCAACAATTGTTTCCATTGAATGAATAACGGATCCAGATCCTAAAAATAATAATGCTTTGGAATAGGCATGAGTAATCAAATGAAATAAAGCACTTCGATAAGATCCCATACCTAGAGCTAGCATCATATAACCCAATTGAGACATTGTGGAAAAAGCTAATCCTCTTTTAATGTCTTTTTGAGCAAGAGCTAAAGTAGCTCCTAATAATACTGTTATTATTCCTATCAACGAAATAAAATTCATTATGTAAGGTATAACTATGAAAAGAGGAATAAGCCGAGCTACAAGAAAAATTCCCGCTGCTACCATAGTAGCAGCGTGTATAAGAGCAGAAATAGGAGTGGGCCCTTCCATGGCATCAGGTAACCACACATGAAGGGGAAATTGTGCCGATTTAGCAACGGCACCGGCAAATACTAGACCAGCACACAAAGTAACAAACAAAGAATTGACTTCATTATCATAAATCAAGTTATTGAATATTTCGAATAAATCACGAAATTCAAAACTACCCGTTATCCAGTAAAAACCTAAAATTCCTAATAATAAGCCAAAATCCCCTATACGATTAGTCACAAAAGCTTTTTGGCAAGCATTTGCAGCAAGAGGTCGTGTAAACCAAAACCCTATTAATAAATAAGAACACATTCCAACCAATTCCCAAAAAATATAAATTTGTATCAAATTCGAACTAGTAACTAATCCTAACATGGAAGTACTGAAAAAACCCATATAAGCAAAAAATCTCAAATATGCTTGATCATGAGCCATATAATTATCACTATAGATAAGAACCATAATTCCAACGGTAGTTATTAATATTGACATAATAGAAGTAAGCGGATCGATCAAATAGCCGAATTCTAAAGAAAAATCATTATTAATGATCCAAGACCATACATATTGATAGATCGAATTGCTATTTATTTGCTGAATAGACAGATTGATTGAAAAAATCATGACTATAGTTAACAATAAAACACTCTGAAAAGACCACATACGACGAAGATTTTTTGTTGCCGTCGGAAAAAGAAGAAGTCCGACCCCTATTAATATAGGAATTGGAAGTGGAATGAAAGGGATGATCCACCCGTATTGATATGTCTGTTGCATAAAAACATTTTTTAATTCTTAATTTATTAATTAATTGTTTCCGATTCACCGGATCTTACCTCTTTGAAAGGGATCAATAAAAGTCAAGATATGGACTTTAAGTTAAACTAACTTAAATAGAATTTTAGAATCTTTTGTTTTTTTACTTTACTTATTCTTCTGAATTTTTGCTAAATCCTTAAAATATTCAAATCAAGAAGTTATAATTGTTCAAATTATATAAAATTATATGAAAGGGAAAAAGTACCCGAGTTTGATCAGTTATATAATTAATAGAAAAGGAGATGAAATTTTTTCTTTCATTAAGCAAAAGCAAAGTTTTTATTCTTATCTTAAATCTTTTGGTGGGGTATTTTATTATAATTATATGGAAATTCGCCTTAGAATGACGAAAATAGACAGAAATAAATAAAGGTTTTTCGATTCTTTTTTATTATATTAAGTTTAAGCTTACTTAACTAATTCGATTTTTATGGCACAGCGAGTTCTATAGATACAAACAGGTATAGACTTGAATGAGAAAGAATCGCAAAAAAAGATAACAATCAAAAGAAATTTTTTTACGGATATTTTAAGGAATAGAAAAGTTTGAAAAAAAAAAGAATAACAAAATCTTCGTCTTTTTTCTATTTTTATTTGAGTATTTAATACTAATACAATTTTATTGATTCAATTTTCACATATCTTTACCCTATCGAAATTTCTTTTTCTGAAGAGAATATTATTTCGATAATAAATAGACTAAATGATTGGTTTTGAACAATAGATGTCTTTCACATCCAGTTAGAACGATAAGTAATCCCCTTTAAATGGCAGTTCCAAAAAAGCGTACTTCTACATCAAAAAAGCGTATTCGTAAAAATATTTGGAAAAAGAAGGGATATTGGACAGCCTTAAAAGCTTTTTCCTTAGGAAAATCTCTTTCTACTGGGAATTCAAAAAGTTTTTTTGTACAGCAAACAAATAAATAAGTAATAAAAGTTTGGAATAATCAGAATACACTCAAAAATCGATCCATTTTCAATTTTCTATAAAAAAAAATAGAAAAATTTCATCATCTCTTGAGTTGATGTAATCAATATGAAATGAAATTAAGTTCATTCTTTTAGTTTTAAAAATAAGAATTTTTTGGTTACTGAATTATTCTAAAAATCCTAATACTTTTTTATTGACCAAAAAAAGAAAAATTTTGTTGACAAATCTTTGTAAAAGGTTTACCTTTCTTTTTCTCATTTCCAAGATGGGGAGGTTTATTTCCCCATCGACCTATTTGTCAAAGTTAGATTAACAAAAAATTTCTCTTTTTTTAGAAGAGTGGGGATAAGACCTTTAGTTAAAAGTTATTTTAATTTTTAATTAAAGGGTTGAATAAAAAACTAATAGATTAAATCTTTAAAATCCTTTGCAATAACTTTCGTACTTTTTATTTTTTTATAGGAATTACTTTAAAGATTCACCAGATATTTCCTCTTGTCAACTCAACCCTTAGTGAGGATTTTCCCTCTGAAAATGTGTCAATTTGGAGTGATCAAAAAGGTATTTTTTTCTATTTATTTTATGTTCATTGATAAAAGGCATTTTTTTGAGTCCTTTCTCTTGATTAATTCTTGGTTGAAGGTAGAAGTTTCTAGTTACAAGCGTTCAATTCTAGGAGAACATAAAATCCATGAAAGTCACTAAGAACCTCTAAACTAAAATAACGAACCCCATTTGAACGAGTTTTTTCAGTAATTTAAAACTTTTCTGAAAAAAATATTACACTGAATTTAGTTCTTCAATTTGATCTCGACGATTCTTTGTTTATAGACTATTATAAGTTCAAGACAAGCCGCTATGGTGAAATTGGTAGACACGCTGCTCTTAGGAAGCAGTGCTAGAGCATCTCGGTTCGAGTCCGAGTGGCGGCATGCCACCTTCTAAAAAAGATAAATAGATCCTATAATAAATTCAACTCTCGATTTCCATTTAAGAGACTCTTCATTTTTAAGATTTTTTATGATATTTTCAACCGTAGAACATATATTAACTCATATTTCCTTTTCCATCGTTTCAATCATAATTACAATGCGTTTGATAAGCTTTTTTTTAGTAGATGGGATCGTACAACTATATGATTCGTCTGAAAAGGGCATGATAGTTACTTTTTTATGTCTAACAGGATTATTAGTTACGCGTTGGACTTATTCGGGACATTTCCCACTAAGCAATTTATATGAATCATTAATCTTCCTTTCGTGGAGTTTTTCCCTTATTCATATAGTTCCGTATTTCAAAAAAAATAAAAAGTATTTAAGCACAATAACCGGTTCAAGTGTTGTTTTTACTCAAGGCTTTACTACTTCAGGTCTTTTAACTGAAATAGACCAATCTTCAATATTAGTGCCTGCTCTTCAATCCGAATGGTTAATAATGCACGTAACAATGATGATATTGGGCTATGCGTCCCTTTTATGTGGATCATTATTGTCAATAGCACTTCTAGTCATTACATTTAGAAAAAACAAAAAGATTCTTTATAGAAATAATCTTTTATTAAATGAGTCATTTTTCTTTGTTGAAATCGAATATATGAATGAAAGAAGTAATCTTTTGCAAAATACTTCTTTTTTTTCTGCTAAGAATTATTATAGGTCTCAATTGATTCAACAATTGGATTATTGGAGTTCCCGGGGCATCAGTCTGGGGTTTATATTTTTAACCATAGGTATTCTGTCAGGAGCAGTATGGGCTAACGAAGCGTGGGGATCGTATTGGAATTGGGATCCAAAGGAAACTTGGGCATTTATTACTTGGATCATATTCGCGATTTATTTACATACTCGAACAACTAGAAACCCGAAATGTGCAAACTCAGCAATTGTAGCGTCTATAGGCTTTCTTATAATTTGGATTTGCTATTTTGGGGTCAATCTATTAGGAATAGGGCTGCATAGTTATGGTTCATTTACATTACTAGCTAACTGAATTCAAAAAATTATCTTACGAATACAAGGGAGTGGGGCGCATATAAAAAAATTTATTCGAGTAGGCACGAATCGTATGAATCGAATATTGTATTCGATTCATACGATTCGTGCCCATATGATATCGTGTTCAAATTTATTTCTTAACTTTACTTAGAAATTTAATTTAAGAGAAAAGCTCTCTTTGTTTCATTCTAGAACTTTTTCATTATGATTATAGAATCAACAATTTCAAAATCATAGGCGGTTTTATTTATGAAAACTATTTAGAAAAAGAGTTAGATAGAATAACTTCGACTTTGTCAACTGACAGTGAAAAAATGAAATCGGGGTACATGCCAATGCCGAGTACGGGTAAAAATAGAGAAATCGAAAGAAATAACTCGCGTGGTCCAGAATCAAAAAAATAAGAGTTTGGAATATTAAAGAACTTGTATCCATAGAACATCTGGCGTGACATAGATAATGAATAAATAGGAGTTAATATCATTCCAATTGCCATTACAAAAGTAATTAGTATTTTTGGCATTAAAAGATATTTTTGGCTGGTAATTATTCCAAAAAATACTATCAATTCGGCAACAAAACCACTCATACCCGGTAATGCAAGGGACGCCATGGAAAAGGTACTAAATATCGTGAATATTTTTGGCATTAGGATAGCTATTCCGCCCATTTCGTCAAGGTAAACAAGACGTATTCTATCATAAGTCGTACCTGCCAAGAAAAAAAGTGCAGCACCAATAAATCCATGAGAGATTATTTGTAAAAGAGCTCCATTGAGTCCGGTATCAGTTATAGAACCAATTCCTATAATTATGAAACCCATATGAGATACGGAAGAATAAGCTATTCTTTTTTTTAAATTACGTTGGCCAAGAGATGTTGAAGCTGCATAGATTATTTGTATTGTGCCTACTATCAGTAACCAGGGCGAAAATATAGAATGGGCGTGAGATAATAATTCCATATTGATCCGAACCAGCCCATATGCTCCCATTTTTAATAAGATTCCGGCTAGAAGCATACAAGTGCTGTAATGTGCTTCCCCGTGGGTATCTGGTAACCATGTATGTAGGGGTATAATAGGCAATTTCACAGCAAAAGCAATAAAAAATCCAATATAGAATATTATTTCCAAGGGAAGAGGATACGACTGATTGGCTGATGTTTCAAAATTTAATGTTGGTTCATTAGAACCATATAAACCGATACCCAAAACTCCCATTAAGAGAAAAATAGAACCCCCCGCCGTATACAAAATAAATTTTGTAGCCGAGTACAGACGTTTCTTTCCTCCCCACATAGATAGAAGTAGATAAACAGGAATTAATTCTAACTCCCACATAATGAAAAAAAGTAAAAGGTCTCGAGAAGAAAATAATCCTATTTGAGCACTGTACATCGCTAACATCAGGAAATTAAATAACCGAGAATCCCGAGTAACCGGCCAAGCTGCTAAAGTCGCTAAAGTGGTGATGAATCCCGTTAGTAAAATAGGTCCTATAGAAAGTCCATCTATTCCTAATCTCCAATGGAAATCAAACAACTGTATCCATTTATAATCCTCCATCAGTTGGATTAATGGATCATCTGTTTGGAAATGATAACAGAATGTATAGGCCGTTAGAAGGAGTTCGAAAATACATATAAATATAGTATACCAACGGATGACCCTATTTCCTCTATGGGGAAGAAAAAAAATTAAGGAACCTGCAAATATTGGCAAAATTACAATTATTGTTAACCAAGGAAAATAATTCGTAGTAAAGACAAGATAGACTTGGACCAGAAAAAAACCCGTGCTCAAAATATTTTGAGCACGGGTTTTGTCGGTAAAAAAAAATAAAATGGATTCAAGTAAAATTTTTTCGAACGTATCAATAAGCTAGACCCATACTGCGGGTTGTTTCATGCCATAAATAAACTCGAACACTCAAGAAATCCGTTGGACAGGCGGATTCACATCTTTTACAACCAACGCAGTCTTCGGTTCTTGGAGCAGAAGCAATTTGTTTAGCTTTACATCCGTCCCAAGGTATCATTTCTAATACATCGGTCGGGCAAGCTCGGACACATTGAGTACATCCTATACACGTATCATAAATCTTTACTGAATGTGACATTGAATCTATACATTTTTGAAAGTAATAAATTTTCGACCTAGTAAACTTAATTAACAAATCCTATATTTAGATACCAGATGAATCAACAAGTTATCAGAATTTTTCGAATAAATCTACTTCTGGATTGGTTTATGAGAAAGGTCCAAAATACTTTGATTTCTTAGGTTTTTGAAAACAAGGTCATACTTTAATTTAATATAGCAAACATACTAATTCGAATTCCTTTATGAATATTAGAATTTATATGATTAATACTAGTTATTCAACAAATTCGATTGGTTAATACGAGTTGATTTTCGGTTACGATAAATTGATGAAACAATAGCCAGTCCAATAGCCGCTTCAGCGGCTGCAATAGCTATAACAAAAATTGAAAAAATGTCTCCTTTTAATTGACGATTATCAAAAAAATCAGAAAATGTTACAAAATTGATATTAACTGCATTCAATATAAGTTCAAGACACATAAGAGCTCTAACCATATTTCGACTTGTGATCAATCCATAGATACCGATAGAAAATAAATAGGCACTCAAAACAAGTACATGTTCGAGCATCATTAACCAACTCCTTATCAATCTTATTAATTTCAATCTAAACAACAATGCAATCCTCAATGCAATCGATTCGATTGAATCACATATAACAAAAATTCCATACTTAAATTTCTTTTTTATTATTGACGAGCTACAGCAATTGCACCTATTAAAGCAACTAAAAGAATTATTGAAACGAGTTCAAATGGAAGAAAAAAATCTGTTGATAAATGAACTCCAATTTGTTGACTATTAGTTATCAAATCTTGCTCTAGAATCTGGTTTGATTTTGTAGTCCAAATAATACCGTACCATGACATATCTGGAATAGTAGTAATTAGTGAAATAAAAAGACCTGTACAAACCACCGAAGTAACTCCATCCCCAATAGTCCAAAGATGAAAATCTTTGTAATATTCTGAGCCATTCATGAACATCACAGCAAAAATGATTAAAACATTTATAGCTCCTACGTAAATAAGCAGCTGCGCAGCAGCTACAAAGTAGGAGTTCAATAGAATATAGAATAAAGATATACAAACAAGAACGAATCCCAATGAAAAGGCAGAATAAATTGGATTGGGAAGTAATACCACTCCTAGACCTCCTAAGATTAGACCCGACCCCAGAAAGACTAAAAGAAAATCGTGTATTGGTCCAGGTAAATTCATTTAAAAAATATATAAATTGAGATATTTCATGAGTTTATTGATCTGAGCAGAAAAAAAAGAAGTGATTCTATTTTTTATGGTACTCCTTAACTAAATGAAATTTAAATGGGTCTGGGTTGATATAGATAGTGTTATTGGAGTATTCTAATTCAATATCCGAAAAATGGTTTGAAACTATATTATATATATTTTGAAATCATTACTCTAATGTAGAAATACATTTTCAATCCAAATAAAAGGACCAACTAATAAAAGGTTTGTATTCATATTAAAAAAATCATATCCTTTTAGATCCAAATAGATCCAAATTGAGCCTTAATTAATATTTTTTAATATTAATTAATATGAATTTTAATTTTATTTGTTTAATCAAAGGGTTCTATCCATTTTTTATTTGGGGTGAATTCGAAATTGTTCGAATTGTGTAATCATCAATTACTGATGTTGGTAACCGACCCAATGAAATTTGATTGTAATTCAATTCGTGACGATCATAAGTAGAAAGTTCATATTCTTCAGTCATTGATAAACAATTTGTTGGACAATACTCAACGCAATTACCACAAAATATACAGACTCCAAAATCAATACTGTAATTAAGCAACTGTTTCTTTCGAATATCGGTTTCCAATTTCCAATCAACAACGGGTAGATCTATAGGACATACACGAACACATACTTCACAAGCAATGCATTTATCAAATTCAAAGTGGATTCGGCCCCGGAAACGTTCCGGTGTGATCAGTTTTTCGTAGGGGTATTGAATAGTTATAGGTAAACGATTCGCATGAGACAGGGTAATCATGAAACCTTGACCAATGTACCTGGCAGCTCGGATTGTTTGTTGACCATAATTTATGAATTCAGTTAACATAGGAAACATATCGTGAATATGTATAAATAAAAAGATTTTATGCTTGTTTCTTTCTCTTGTTTGAGACAGGTCGTGAATTGAATGTAGAATATTGTAGTATTTTACAATGAAAGAAGTTGGGACGAAGTTGTTAATAATAGATTACCTAGAGAAATAGGTAAAAGAAATTTCCACCCAAGATTTAATAGTTGATCCATTCTCAGCCTTGGTAAAGTCCATCTTGTTGCAATAGGAATGAACAAGAACAAATAAGTTTTAGCTAATGTAATAAAGATACCAATTACTGGGCCAAAAACTTTACCCGCTTTATTTATGTCAAATATCTCAGAAACGAATATGTACGGAATAGAAAGATTCCAGCCTCCCAAGTAAAGAACTGTTACAAATAATGAAGAAACCAGTAGATTTAGATACGAAGCAACGTAAAATAAACCAAATTTGATACCTGAATATTCAGTTTGGTAACCCGCTACTAATTCTTCTTCGGCTTCTGGTAAATCAAAAGGCAATCTCTCACACTCGGCTAAAGAAGAAATTAGAAAAATGATAAATCCTATAGGTTGACGCCATAAATTCCATCCCCAAAAACCATATTTTGACTGCGCTTCAACTATATCAACTGTACTTGAACTGTTAGATAATCATAGTCGATGATAACATCGCTGTTCCCATCACTATTACAGAACCGTACGTGAGATTTTCACCTCATACGGCTCCTCAAAGATCACAAATAAATCTAAGGGCATTTCACTATTATTTATCTTGATATTTTGTAAGATAGTTATCCTATAAGTTCGTGAATTAGATCGATGGAATTCTGTTTGCTATATTTTATATTTAAAATAAAAAAGTGCTTCTGAATTCATCTTATCTTTTAATTATATAATATAAGAATTTTTTTCTTTGTTGATCAATAACTTAATCCTTGAATAAAAGACCTTTTATAACATTTTTATAACATATAGTACATAGATATTTCAACCTATTATTTTCAATTACGAAAAAGAATTAGACCCTGCTTTATGATTCATGAATCATGAAAAGAGTTCTATTTTTCTAACTAAAATAAAAAAAAATAGAGGAAAAAAGAATCCAAAAAAGATTTCTTTTCCTTTGCAATTATTCCTTTTTATTCCGTTCCTATTCTACTTTTTCATAAAAGGGAATTTTAACCAAAATCAAACTAAAAGATTATTTCGTTCTTGATAGTTATTTAATTAATTGTTGGATGGGAACATACTCTGGATCGGAATCTTGGGGAATACTTCTTGATCATTTCTACCAACTTAAAGCCCCAATTTGAATTCCCTTTATATACGGAAATATCCCTTTGGATAACTTACAGAATCTCCATCATTACTAATCCTTTGTGTATTTTCGTCTTTCTAATCATCCACCAATTTGTGGTCAACTTTTTTTTATGTTAATACACCTATGGTAATAGGTAATAAAAACCCCATAGAGTTGATCTTTTGAACCCGCTTCAAGCCATGATGACATAATAACCAATCTTGGGGTAAACAGTCTCTACTGCTTTTGTTTACTTCGCTCTTGTACATAGGAAATGAGATTCAATTTTATTTACTGCAAATTTTGAAGCCGTTTTCTTTCACCCATATAACTATCTGCTTTACGTCATCAACCCGAATGATGAATAAAAAAATGAAAACTAAAATGTATATTTAACCCATTTAACTTAACTTTCTTCTTAAGAAAGAAAGAATATAGGGGAAATTTTGCGTCTCACCGAATCACACGTAGAGATATTGATAATACACATAGAGTTAATGGTATTTCATAACTAATTGATTGAGCAGCAGCCCTTAGACCACCTAAAAAGGAATATTTATTATTTGATCCATATCCCGACATAAGAAGTCCAATGGGAGCAATACTTGAAATGGCGATCCATAAAAAAACACCAATAGTAAGATCGGCTAGAACAAGTCGATAACCAAAAGGAATTACTGAATAACTTAGTAAAATTGATATGACTGCGATGGATGGTCCAATACTGAATAAACGAGCATCGCCCCTAGATGGAAGAAGGTTCTCTTTGAAAAGTAGTTTTGTACCATCCGCTAGAGCTTGAAGAATTCCTAAAGGGCCGGCATATTCAGGTCCAATACGTTGTTGTATCCCTGCAGATATTTCTCTTTCTAACCAAACAATCACGAGTACACCTATTGTGATTCCTAATACAAGAGTAAAAATGGGGATAAGTATCCATATGATCCCATAGACTTCTTTTAGGGATTCCAATTTGAAAAAAGAATTAATAGCCTGTAGTTCGGTTGTATCAATTATCATTTTAACGATCAACTTCTCCCATAATGATATCTATGCTACCTAGTATCGTCATAATATCAGCCAATTTCATTCTTTTAACTAACTGAGGAAGAATTTGCAAATTGATAAAACCCGGTGGACGAATTTTCCATCTCCAAGGAAAAACACTTCGATCTCCTACCAGAAAAATTCCCAATTCTCCTTTTGGTGCCTCAACTCTCACATAAAGTTCTTGTTTCGACAATTCAAAGGTCGGAGAAGGTTTTTTACTAATAAATCGATATTCAAAATCATTCCATTCGGGATCTTTTACTCTATCAATATCAAAACGCCGGATTTCTAAATTCTCATAAGGGCCTCCTGGAATTCCTTCCAGAGCCTGTTGTATAATTTTTATGGATTCTGTCATTTCGCGGATTCGTACTAAATAACGAGCTAATGAATCACCTTCGTTTTGCCATTGAACCTCCCAATCAAATTCGTCATAACACTCATAATGATCAACTTTACGAAGATCCCATTGTATTCCGGAAGCTCGTAGCATTGGTCCTGATAAACCCCAATTTAGTGCTTCTTCTCCGCCGATAATGCCTACGCCTTCAACTCGTTCTAAAAAAATAGGATTACGTGTAATAAATTTTTGATATTCAGCAACCCCTGTTAAAAAGTAATCGCAAAAATCCAAACATTTATCTATCCAGCCATGAGGTAGATCAGCGGCTACTCCTCCTATGCGAAAAAAATTATGCATCATTCGCATACCGGTAGCAGCTTCGAATAGGTCATATATCAATTCTCTTTCTCGAAAAATATAGAAGAAGGGGGTCTGTGCGCCAATATCTGCCATAAAGGGACCAAGCCATAACAAATGGGAAGCGATACGACTCAACTCCAACAAAATGGCTCGGATATAGCTAGCTCTTTTAGGTACTTGAATATTTCCTAATTGTTCAGGTCCATTTACGGTTATTGCTTCTGTGAACATAGTAGCTAAATAATCCCAACGTGTTACATAGGGTAAATATTGTACAATTGTTCGATTTTCCGCAATTTTCTCCATCCCTCTGTGTAAATAACCCAATATTGGTTCACAATCAATAACATCTTCACCATCTAAAGTAACGATGAGTCGAAGAACACCGTGCATTGATGGGTGATGAGGGCCCATATTGACTATCATGAGGTCTTTTCTTGTAGCTGGTACAGTCATAAGTTTTTTACCCATTCATTCTTCCATGAATTGCTGAAAGTGAAAAGAAGTTTATCAAAATTTAAACGAATAAAAAATAAAAAAAGTACTTAAAATGACACGACTCTTCTAATTAACGAGTTTTGGTCTCTCGAATACTCAATAGACCAATTAATTCTTTATAACGTACTCTATTTTTTTTTGCCAAATAAGCCAACAGCCGTTGACGTTTTCCCAAAATTTTTCGTAAGCCTCTTTGAGATAAATAGTCTTTTTTGTGCAATTCCAAATGTGAAGTAAGTCTCCGTATCTTATTGGTAAAACGGAATACTTGAAATTCAACAGACCCCCTCTTTTCTTCTTCAGAAATGACTGAAATGAGTGTATTTTTTACCATAAAAGATTGCTACCCCCCCTTTTTTACAGATATGTTTTTTTACCGATGAGTAATAATAATGGTATTTATTTTAATGTGGTATATATAATAATTTGAATTTCGTTATGGACTCCTAATTTTATTAATTTACATGAATTAATTCCGTTTTAAATTAAATTTGATTCAGATAGGAATAGAAAAAAGTGATACATTTTTCCATTCAGAAAGGGGCATAATTTAGACCTAAAATTAATAAGATTCTGTTAATTGATTTCTAGGTCTAATTGATACGTTATTGGTTTTATTATCTATATTAAAAGTGAAAATGGGATGTAAAACAGGTCATGTGTGAATCTCTTTCCTTTCATATACCCTACAGGGTAGAGCAGATATACGAAAAATGTACTATCAATGACTTTTCAATCGTGGATACATATATATCCTTAACATACTGAAACGACTGCCGTTATTGGTATCAAACCAATAGCGATTCATACAAGCCAAATCTTCTAATCGATAATTAGGCCAAAGAAAAAACTTTAATTTAATTAATTCTTTTTTATCTTTATCAAGATCTTTCCTTTTGTCCAAAAGTTGACTAGAGTTGTTCTTGGTACAAAATACTGAATTTTTATCAACACTATTCCTATTTTTTGAAGTGAAACAAATTAGGATTCTCAACTCTCTACGGCACCTGGTCGATAAAATATTTTCAGGAACAAGTAAATCAAAACGATTCTTATCAACGTATGTTTGTTCTCGGTATCCTTGATTAGTTTGGTGCTTATTCTTATGAACTACTGAAATACCTAAGATTTGATACATAATAAATTGTCCATCATTTTTTACAGACAGGCGGTCAGGTTCGATAACCAATACTCCCCTTTTGATCAATTCTGTAAGACTTAAATTCTTCTGAATCAGCATTATATCCAAACTCATTTCTCTTCTTTGAATCGAAGATATAGTAATTTTTCTTGGATTTATCAGTCGAAGCAGGAGACAATATATTTTGACATTATTGATCATTCTTTGATTCAAAGCATCGCCCCATCTCAATTGAAAAACTAAATAACGTTTTAGGAAAAAATCCAGTTCTGCTTCCGTTTTACTTTTGTATTGCTTTTTCTTTTTACCCGCTTTTATCTTTGATACTGCATAATCCTCTTCATTATCTTTTTCTTGCTTTGTCTTTGTTGGGGGAACGGATCCAAGATTCCCCTGTTTTTGTGCATCTGATCTAAGATCTTCTTGGTCCGCAGGGGTTTCTTTTTCTTTTTGATTCTGATTTTTATTCTTTATTTGTTTATTCGATGGTATAACACATTCCGTCTTTTGCTTTCCATCGACGTTTTTATTGTTACTAATAACATTTTCATTTAGATTCAAATTGAAAAGAAGTACTTTGCTTGGTATAACCCACGGTTTCATTTTATATAGATTATAAAGGAGTACGAATTCTGGAAAGAACCAAAATTCCAGACTCGAGATGGGACGATTTAATATTTCTTCATTCATTCCCATCCAATCCAAAAAAAGTTTTTTTGGACTTGGCGAGTTTATTTTGGGATTTTGCGGAAGCAGAAGATAAAAAGGGCCTTTTTTATCAATTTTATCAATTATTTGATAATTGTTAGTACCAATCTTAGTATTTTGATTACTCTTAGTATTGATTTTGACCCAGGATTCAATATCGACCCTTTTTCTAAGAAAAAATTTGATGATTTTCCAATCAAAATATTTTCTATCGGTATTTTTTTCCATATATCTAATATTACCTTTTACTAGATAAGGATTGATAGGGATACTCTCCAACATATCAAAAAGGTTGTGTTTATATGTGTTAGAATTATAATAAAAATCTTGATTCTTATTTACTTGTACTTGAAAGGGTGATTCATAAATAGATGGGTCCCTCATTTTTTGATAATTAATATATTTATATGATAAAAGATCATATCTAGAGTTTTTTTGAAAATTCTCTTTTTGATTCAATAATGAATATACTTCAGAATCCTTTTGTTTTTTGTAATGGCCCTTTTCATATGAATTCAATTTGAAATTTTGATTTTGAGCCATATGATGTTGATTAACTCTATTTCTCCATTTTTCTGATATTAATTTAGACCATCTAATCGAGGGTAAATCGTATTGATAATGTCCTTTTAACCAACCTTTCCATTGATCCATCCCATAACTCGGAAGTTTCTTAAGACTTAATTCATTCTGAATTATTCCTTGTTTTTCAAACGAATGCTTTATTTCAGTTTTAAGAAAAAAAGAGGTTCCGAGGTAGTGAAAAAAAGATCTTAATTTATACAAGTTACTAACTTTAGTTTGTGATAATTTGTAAAATACATATGCTTGTGACAAGTAGGATAAATCACAAAAAATATATGAATTTGTCTTATTGTTAATAGTATCAATTGATTTTTTTATAGTCGAAATAAAGTAAATTGTATTTTGATTTTTTTTATTAATCCTTTCTTTATTTGCTTTATTAATGGATTTATCCATAATTTTTTTTATTGATTCAATAAAAAGTTGTGTATTCAGTCTGGTAATATTAATGATAAATAAAAATATATCTATGTATATTCTTTCAACGAAAATTTTTATAAAAGAATTGAATTTAGAGAATAATCGGGCATTTCTTTTTTTTAATATTTGCCAAATGTTTTTTGGCAATTCTAATCTTTTAGTATTCCAATTTCTTTTATTAGGACTTATATATATTCTTGGCGTTGGGGTTATTTTTTTTTTTTCTTTTATAATTCTTTCTATTTGATTTCTGATTGTACTTGTTCTATGAGACATATCCTTCTTTTTTTTTTCTGTCAGTGAAGAATTTGTCCAATTTGGAGAGTTAATTTTACTAAAGGATTCATGAATTATCTGATTGCTGATTATGGAATCTTTTTCGTTTTTAGTTTCATTCGATTCATATACTTCTCTGAATCTAAATAATATAATTGGATTTAATTTAGAAAGTTCTTTTATTAGTCTTTTTAGAAATAAAAAACTTTCGATAATCCATTTTTTTGTTTCTTTTGAAACTCTTAGAAGTAATTTTGTTTTTCTCTTTAAAACTTTTAGAGCTAGAAAATATGCCCTTTTGAATTTTATAATTTTTGTTTCCAGCTCCTTAACAGCGGGCTCAAAAAAAGAAGATTGTTTTCTGGGAGAACCAAACGGAAGTTCAGTTTCCATTCCCCAAACTGTTAAAAAACAAAAATCATCTTTTTGTTTTTTCTTTTTCATTAAATCTCTATGAGAGGGCCGTCGTTTCGATCTATGCCAAGGTTTCAGACAGAAAGGAAATAGGATTTTTATCTGAATACCATCTGTTAACCAATTTTTCGGAAATTCTGTTTCCGATAATTGAACACCATTATAGGTACATTTAATATGCATTTCTCTATTCCATCCCTCTAGATCCTCAGACCATTCCGGAAATTGGAATAATATCATACGTACAATATTTTTGCCTATTATTAATACAGGTAAACGAATATATTTTCTAAAAAAAGATTGACTTATTAACATGGAACCTCTTATTACTTGTGCAAAAGGAATGGTATCCCAGGCTTCTGCTATCTCTATCCGCGCTTGTTCCTTTCTTTTGTTCTCCTCTTTTTTATCCTTTTCTTTTTTATCTTCCTTTTTTGTTTCTTCATCTGTATACTCCAGAATTTCAAATTTGGCCCCCTTCCCTGTCCAATTTCTAAAAAGAAGTTTAATCAGTACGGATATATCAAAGGAAAAACGAGGAGATTTTTTTATCCTGTCCAAAAAAAGGGGAGAATGCACATTTGCTTGAAAGAGTTCCCAAATAACAATTTTACGTCTTTGAGCGCGCATAGAACCTTTAATTATTCTTCTTCGAAAATCCGACTGTTGCGAATAGCGTATCAAAGCCACTTCGTTTCTTTGATCCGAAGTATCATTATCCTTATTAGGATCGGTATTCTCCTTGTTATCAGTAAAAATCACTACACGTTTGGCTTTTCTTGAGCGAATTTGATGATCAACCGGTACGTTTTCTTGATGCTCTCCTGATTGTTGTTCTAAATCGGTGATTAATTTGTATGACCATCGAGGGACTTTTTTGATAATTTCTTTTATTCCAACAGATTCTTTTTGAATTTTTTGATCAATAGGATAGGTTCGAATAACATTCAATAGAAATTTGAAAATTTTTCTTTCTTTTTCAAAATCTATTTTTTCTTGGTCTTGGTCTGAAAATAAAGAAAGAC